CTGTGGAAGCCAGAAGGCTTTGGATCCCCTGTAACCAGAATAACAGACAGTTGTAAGCTACCATGTGGGTTCTGGGAATGAAATCCAGAGTAGCCAATGCTCTTAATTGCTAAGCCATCTCTCCAGCCCCAAAGATGTCAGTTTTAAAAGGAAACGTGGCTATGCCAGGTGGCAGTGCCCTGTGAAGCTATGGGCAGTGATCCTTAGGTAGGGTGGCTGCACTATTCTCTTGACACACCAAGTGGGATCAGGTGATTGTGAAGAGGCCTGCATGTGGTTTGGTTATAGAGCCTGTGCTTGGGGTTACAGGGCATGGGCTTGGGGTTTATTTAACCTCAGCACCAAAACTGGAATTGGTGAAAGTAGGGAAATAACAAAGAGAAGCAGGACACAGAGCTGGCCAGGAACAGAATTAACAGGCAGGACACTTGCTCCCTCTACCAGCATCTGTTTGGAGCATACCCTGCACAGCTTCCCATAAACCCTGATTTCCTCAAGACAGCAAAATAGAATGTTTAAAAGCTGTGGGTCCTGGATCCAGGCTTCCTGGGTTCGAATCCCACTCCATCACTTGTGAGTGATGTACCCTGGGGCAGTGACCAAACCTCTCCATGCTTCCTTGTTCATAAATGAGACCCAAATGAAAAATAACTTCAGCAAGTTGTGACCCCTTAGTGAACCAATGGCTGTGAGGTGGTTGGGAGGGCCTGGCTCAGGGTAAATGTAGGCTGAGTGCCAACAACTCCCCCTCTTGACTGTATGCCACCAATACAAAATCTAGTTGTTTTGAGTATTGGCTCCAGGCCCTGAGAGGCAAAGGCAGAGAGGCAACAGGTGGCCTACCAGACCATGTTGGCTACTGTGAAGCCTGCACTTCCACAGTCACCAAGATCTGCACCATTCTTCCTCTTGGTTGGTTTGGAGTCTGTATTTGCAAACACAGTTTCCCTTTCCCGCCACTCCTGATGTTATCGGATTTCAGCCAGCTTGTTTCCTCAACTCCCAGTTTGATCCGAGACACCCATGCACAGGGGCTACTGTTTTTGCCTTGCTCTGTTTGAGTTAATTATTATAATGTCTATTTCTACCCTTTCCTTAAGTTGCTGTCAAAGATCCAGTGCAGGGCCTAAAGAGATGGCTCAACAGTTAAGAACACTGACTGTTCTTGCAGAGGACTTGGGTTCGAATCCCAGCACCCACATGGCAGCTAACAACTGTCCATAACTCCAGTTCCAGGGGATCCAACATCCTCCTCTGTCCTCTGCGGGCATTGCACTAACACGGGTACACTTACATACTTGCAGGCAATACACTCATACACATAAATAAAAATAAATGAATTTTTTTAATAAAAAAGATCCAATGCAGCGCCCTGTTTCTGTGATCTTAGCATGCAGTCCTTAGGAACCTTGGTAATGCACTAGGCAAACAAACCTTCCACAAAGGTCTTCTAGGGCAAGGTACCTCAGATCTGGGTCTGTTCTCTTTCCTATTACAGCTCATCCCTGGCTTATGCACAGCCAATGGAAAATGTTTTATTTTTCCTTTATTTTTTCTTTGTAAGAAGGGAAGAAGCTTGTGATATATTATGGCATTAAACCTATGCCATCACCATAATGGAATCTTCTGAGATAATTGATTTCAGAATGGGTTTCTTTGGCGGTTAAATTATTCTATATGCCCAATAATATTTTGTTTTGTTTTGTTTTTACATGAGAAGAAAAAAAAGAAACCTTTCAACTTAGAAAAATAAAGCCTCTCAACTTAGAAAAAGGAATGCCAATATTTCATCTCTTTGTCACACACTCCCAAAATGCATTATTCACAAAGAATAGAATATTTGGAGGGAAAACTCTGTGAGAATAGAGGCCTTCAGTCCAAGAGCTGCCCTCCCAGGCAGTTCCCAGCTGCCAGTTCAACTCTGATGGGGGAAGACAAGCCCACGCAGTCCTCTTGTCCGCCCACAGTAAGTAGCCAGCTGTTCTTGTCCTTGGCTGGGACTGGGCCTCTCAGCACCACACTGCCCTGGCTCTGAGTCTTAGGTCTAAAGCAGAACAGGTTCAATCTCTCAAGTGGTCAGCTTCCAGTGGTCTCTATTTCCCTTCTCTCCTCACAAGAAATTTCAGAACAGAAAATGTACCAGCAGGGCACCTTTTTGGTCTTGAGTCTTCTGTCTAGCCTGCAAGCTCCTCTGTTGACCCCCTGGGAAAGTACATTTAGGACTCCTGGATATGCTTTTAAATTCCACCAAACACCATCTCCTTTTCTGGTCTCAGTCCCTTCGTCCACCAGCCACAGCACTTCTCCCTGTCCCCCGGGCACACCACTCCTGTGATTTGCTCCTGAGTTCTTGGAAAGATGGTAAACTAACTTAATCTCCTGAACGTATTTGATAAATCCCCACTCCAAAAACAATTTATTTTACTATTTCTACCCCCTAGACTGAAAAAAAGTATTTCTTTGTGGCCAAATAAGACTTAAAAGGGTTGTAACTCCACCTAGCACTGTCAGGCCTCATTAGAAACCAGTTCCCCTCACCGTAAGTACCTCTCCTCCCCATCCCTTTGGAGTGCCTGAATCTCTCTAGGTCTGGCTGCGTCCACATTCTGTTCTGTTCACTTCTTTAGCCTCTAGGCCTGGCACAAGCAGCCTGACCTCCACAGGCGACTGGACAGAAATATTATTTGGTTTCCCTGCTAGGACTTCTCTCCCCCTTCTGGAGACCTCATCGGTGATTTCCTCTGGAAAGTTTTCTTCAACTTCAACTTCCTGAAGTCTTTTAAATGCTTCCTTCCAGATCATCTCCCAGATCACCTGAGTAATCCCCACCCCTTATCCCTAGTTTCACTTTCCAGGATTCCAGTTATCCACTGTCAACTGCTGTTTAAAAATATTAAATGGAGGGTCTGGAGAGATGGCTCAGAAGTTAAGAACACTGGTTGTTCTTGCAGAAGACCGGGGTTTGAATCCCAGCACCCACATGACAGATAACAAATGTCTATAACTCCAGTTCCAGGGGACCCAACAGCCTCTTCTGACCTCCGTGGGCATTGCATGACACAGGTACATTTACCTAAATGCAGGCAATATACACATGTACATAAAATAAAAATAATAAATAAGTTTTAAAATATTAAATGGAAAATTTCAGAAATAATTCATTAGATTTCACTTGTATGTCATTCCAGGTACTGTGAGGAAATCTCATACTATCTTTTGATTCACCCAGGACATGACTCTTCCCTTTATCTGGGACGTCAATGCTGCCCATGGGCCATGTTGAAGCCATCTCAGTCATCAGATCCACTGTGATATTGCAGCACTGTGTTCAAGTGACCTTTATTTCAGTGAAAAAGAGCTGTGAAGTGCAAAAGTAATGATTCAAAAGAAGTACCTGAACATAACACATGAAAGGACAGATTAACCTTGGCACTATGTGGTAGAACACACACACACACACACACACACACACACACACGCACACACACACACACACGGAGACATGGTATTAAGCATCCACTGGGTATCTTGGAAAATATCCTCTGCAGGTAAGAGGGGACCTACTAAGCATGCTGCTCATAGTTTATCCTGTGCTTCCAGCTAGGCTAGAACCTCTTAGGGGGTAGAGACTGCATCTTCTGTATCCTTCCATCTCCATGCTTACTGCAAACCCAGACACATTATCTTGGCTACAGGAATTCTGTAATTAAAATAAAAGGAAGCCACTCAGGAGAGAGAGTGATTTGACTAGAGTGAGAGACACATTGCTTTAATTATCCAGGAAACCAGGCATGCAGTGTAGGATGCCATGAGGAGGGGCTGGGGACTCAGAGTTCAGGGTCACTGCTTTTCCAGAGCAGGTGACTTTCTCAGCTTACTCTAGACAGAGGCAGAATGCCCTGGCCTTGGAGCAGAAAAAGCAAAGAAACTTACCAAAGAGAACATCCCTATTCACCAGGGTGTGGCACAGAACTGTAGATCCTCTCCCCCAGAAGATGTTGAGGACCCCACATACTGGAATCTTGATTGGTACAGCTTTGGAGGATGTGATTAGCAAAGGCATGGCTACCTTCATTCCCAAAACTGGCTTTGCTGGGGCACATCTTGTTCTTCAGGACTATGCTCCCCATTTCCTGTTTTACCTTTTAATTCAACTAAACCAGCATTTACTGAACTCTATAAAGGAGTAAGGAACTGTGAGATGGAAATTGAAGGTTAAAAAAAGACCCACTGTAAAGAAAAGCTAGCAGGATTAAAACATCACAGAGATCTTGAAAAAGAATCTGACACTACTCATGTCAGAGTATGGAGGGGAACATGATCTCAGACCTCTGAGAACTCCCCCTCCAGAGGAAAGGTGCCTACCAGGGCAAGCTTGGCACAAAGCAGGGTAATCACACCTTCCTGCCCTCATCACCCTCTCCAGTCTCAAACTTTATCCCTGGGGTTGATAGAACAAGTGTAATGGAAGCTGGCCCAGGGTCATAACCCTGGAACTTGTCAGTGTCATCCCTCTATGCCCCAGGTGGCCCTATGGGCTGGAGTTCATCCACAGAGGAGGCCCCACAGAGGTTGAACAGGGGTTCCAGCCCCTTGCATGAAGACCCTGGTGGGGAGGGGCGCTTTGGAGATGTCAGATGGAGAAACAGAGCTGGCAGTACTGGGGTAAGGGTGGCTGAGATGGGCTGGAATGAAAGGGACTGGGGGACACCACGTCCCTGGCTGTCCAGTACCCTGCCCTGTGCTTGCTGGTTGGGGGGGGGGAATGGCTGGTGAACAGGGGTTCGAGCCCCTTGCATGAAGACCCTGGTGGGGAGGGGCGCTTTGGAGATGTCAGATGGAGAAACAGAGCTGGCAGTACTGGGGTAAGGGTGGCTGAGATGGGCTGGAATGAAAGGGACTGGGGGACACCACGTCCCTGGCTGTCCAGTACCCTGCCCTGTGCTTGCTGGTTGGGGGGGGGGAATGGCTGGCGCCCCTCCCTGGGCCCGGCCACCCACCTGGGCACGCCCTGGCGTAGTCGAAGCAGCAGTCGCCGATGAGACGGCAGGCTTGGTCGCAGAAGCACTTCCCGTAAACCCTGTCCTGCCTCCAGCCCTGGGCGAAGCAGGCTGGGTCCCTGCCAGGGCAACAGCGCCCAGCCTCGGCGCACCCAGCCAGGGTCCCGGGCCACAGCCGCGCCATCCACAGCACCATCCACAGGGTCCTCATGGCCGGAGCAGCGGCGGCACCTGCGACACGGCAGAGCCCGGGGCCAGTGCTCGGCTCCTCGACAGCCGCGGCCCCCGCCCTCGGCCCTCCACCCTCCCGCGCCGCCCCTCGGCCGCCCTGGCTGCGCGCCCA